TGCTGCTCTTTATGGAAGTCTTTTGTATAAGGATGAATGAACTGGCTACTGATGCTCTCTCAATAAAAAAGGACACACGCCTTAAAACAGAAGCAGGTGCTATCCAGCAACTACTGTTTGCACAGAGGGTTCTTTGACAAAAACTTTTAAACAAAGAAAGAACAGGCAAGCAATTCCTTGGAGACCCTCACAATGTACCTCTCAAACAATAGCCCAGCTGCAGCAAAGCCACATCTATCATTTTAAGGTCAATTTGTGATCTGTACTCATTTATATTTTAAAAAGTAGCTATGAAAGTTCAATGAGAATGAAGATTCAACATCTAGGGGATTAATTCTGCTATACACAATGTTTATTATATAAATATTGCATGTTGCTACTTCATGTTTTAAGACAAAGTAAAAATATGATCGCAAAAATTAAAAACAAATATAATGTGATTCTATGCATTCTTGCTTGACAGTGAGTCCCACTGAAATCAATGGAACTTATTTCCAATTAAGGACTGGAAAAACAAGAAAATATGTATTTCATTATTATGAACATGTGAACTAGTAAATAAACACTTGCATTGTATGCAAACCATCTTTACATGGATTCACAATCTCAACATTATTATTCTGTGGATAGCCAAGCAATTATAAGACCAAAAACTCAACAGGCAAAACTTAGCACAATTACAGTCACCGCTACTTAAAAATTCTCAAGTGGGGTCTTAATTTATGCTTCCATTATGTGTTGAGACACTTTGTCAAGAAAACTATTTACAATTTTAAAATATAACAAAATGTCATCTATTTTTAATTGAAGGAAATGACAACAAATGGTAGCAATAAATTCCTGCTGATGGTTTAAAGACACAGTCCTAAAGAAACAAATACAGGCAATTTGATCATCATTCAGCAACTAAGCCAACCCAAGCTACATAAATATTAATCTAGTTATATCTGCATCTTCTGGTATCCCTATCTGCTGTGTTTTAGTCCTCTATTCTCCAGTTGAAGGTTAGCCTTCATTTTTCCATTATCCTCTGCCTGGTATTCACATGCACAATTGAATATGTAGACGAAGGAGTTAGGTCTTTTTTGTTTTTGCTTTTTGTTTTGTTTTAATCTGGGCTGAGATACATAAGAGTTCACTAGAAGATCAAGGGAGCCACCTGCAGTTTGAAACCCAGAAGACTCTAATGGATGATTATGCATTCTTTTACTCCCATTAATTGTCTTTAAAGAATTCAGTTACCCAAGCATGTGTCTGGATCTCAGTAAGAGCATCTTCTGTGTGATTAATATCCATTTCTCACTTCAAAGCCATCCTTCTTCATAGCTGTACTTTCTGCAATTTGTACTTAAGTCAGTGGGAGATTGGCACACACTGCAAAGAGACCCGTGATTTCCATTGGCCTTCCCATCCCCCATCCCTAAATGAAGATACCTGTGCTTTAGCTTCTGTCATCCAAAGAAGCAGCATTGGCATTTGTTGGACATTTGTTTGGACAATTTGATTTAAATCAAATGCACCCTGATAATAACTAACCACCTTTACTCTTTTATAGTAAACACAATTTGTTTCTTCAGAGTGCCACTACCATTCTACATAGGTAAGCTTCCTTTCTTCTAAGGCAGAAAATAGATGTAAGATTATGTCACCAATAGTATTTGCCAAAAGTTGAACTGCTGTCCGGTTACATTATGAAATAGTTTCACAACTTACATCCAAATCTTCAGTGCTTACCCATCATCAGTAATACATTGAAGAGGAGGGAGATGCTATTCTGACTTTTAATAGAATATAACCTAGTAAAACAATTCAAGGCTAAATCAAAGGTATAGCCAATGAATATAGCAATTACAATTAAAAACTTTTAACATTTATTGCAAAAATGATTAAAACAAAGCCCTATCCATTTTTAATTGAGAGTCCCCTCTTCTTTAGGTCAGCCAAATTGCTAGATTTTGAAGTGATACTGCCAGCTAAAATTTTGCTACCTAGTTAATTTTCCTCAACATATTCCTGATAAAAAGGGCCTAATAGAATTATTGACCTTCAAGGAAGGCTTTAAATGTGTCAAGCACTCTTCTAACACAACTCTTCTAGTGTGAAACATTTCACAAGGTCATTGCTTAAAAGGATGACAAACACTGTACCCTGTAAAGTCATGATGTTACTTTTATTAAATTCTGCAGAATTAAAATTAATAAGGTCAAATATAATTCAGGTTCCTATCAACTTTTTTCCTCCTCTACAATTATTTAAATTATATTAAAAGATTGCCATGTTTTTAAAGAGTTTTTCAAAAGTATAGAAACTCCATGAAGAAAATGTTAAACTCATGGTCATTTTCACCAGAACATGAATTCCTGTTTAACCACTGAAAACACCAGAAATGGTAGAGAAGAAACAAATCTTTGATAACATGCAGTAAATACATCTTTGGAAGACTTGACCACAACAGCAGCAAGACTGATAATAGCAAAGAACCGGAGACAGAAACAGAATTTCCAGTTAACTGAATGGTATAAAGAATTTGGAATACAGCTGTTAGTGCTAAGTTGATGTGTGGAAGTAAAGTGCAAAAAGGGCTGACAAATAAGAATGATTTTAATTATATATGGAACTTATTTATTTAACATCTATCAATAAAAGGGAAGAGTAAGAAATGCAAAATTCACAAAGGACTTTATGTATAGGCCAACACAGGCTTAGGAATTACCATGAACTTTAATCCACAGATGTTAACAACTTAACACAGTATACGGAGTATATAAGAAAATTACGCATTCCTTAAGTGGGTGACATTTTGTTGTTATGACTATTCTACAATTCTTATTTCATAGCAGTCAAAGCATGGCCATTTAAAAGGCAGTGCGGATGTTGAACTTGACTCCAGATGAAGAATGCTTAAAACATGGTTACAGAAATAGTTAAGGCAGATTTGAATATTAAGGGAAATCCTTGCAGGTTTCCCAGCAATTCCATGTCACAGCTTGAACTCTGACAGCCAACATCTATCTGCACGAATCAACATTATAAGACTAATCATTTTTGGCAGCATTTTACTCAAGCCGACTTTTATAATCATTCATTACCATTTCATTAATTAAGCTACCTTTGTGGCTATCGGTTTATTAGATCTGTAAGTGCTAAACTTCTTGTCATACCCTTCATAACAATTACAACCTAAATTATTTATTCTGGGTTAACACTAATGTATGGTTATCATTTAATCCTTCATCACATAGCTTACAAATCAAACCTCCCAAGTAAGGATTTGGTGATATCTCCATTTACATTTTTGACAGGGGTAAGACGATTTGGGTATAACACAGGAAAGAAGCAAAACTAGGACTAAATTAGAGTTTGGTATAACATGGTTCAATTTAGTGGAGATCTCCTAACTGAATTTGACGAGGAAAGCAAAGTTACAACTAACCTGACCACACTTGACAATTATTTCCCTTAGACTAGCAGAGGAAATGCATGTCTAGCACAGCTCAGGAGCACAATTACTATGCTGCTACGCAATTTACAGAAAAATATGCCCTCCATCTAGGGCCAAAATAAGCAAATTTGAAATCACTATGCTTCACCTTAGTAAAAGATCATTAAAAACTATTTCTAGATCCTGTTTATCATCCAGAAACAAAATTTGTACTAGAAGACACTTAACATCCTCTACCCTGAAGTGGGGAAAAGGAACTCCAGGCATTTTAATTGTCATACAACTACAGCAACCTTGGATTCTATGTTGTCTGTGGAAATACTATGCATCATTCACTCTCCATCCTGAAATTCAAAATTTTCCATGATCTTCCCCAGCTTATCTTTCCATCATAACACAAAACATTCCTTGAGACCTTTCTATCCCAAGCTCTACTACTTGAATTTTTACTGGTGTCTTAAATGACTATTTTTATTGTTCTTAGAATTCCTAGGATTCCCTTCTGAAACATCTGTATCAGTGTTGTACATTGCATGACTGAGGTCACTGGTAGCTCCCAAACAGCTCTCTCCCTGCATTTCCCATTTTCACTATCCTGTTTCTCACTCTCCATGTTCTCATGACTGGAAAAGAAAAAGACACAGTGGCTTATTTATCCCCCACCATGCTAGCTCTGACTTGAGACAGGTCAGGTGGGAAGAAAAGGTGCCTTCCAAACTACCATCTAGTGCACAACTGGTTCTAGGGTCACAATGTACTTTGGACAAACACGTAAACACACCACACACCTTCACTGGGTTTGAACAATGCAATAGCATGCTCCCCAACCAAGGTGGGGAGAGCGCTTTGTGAATACCTTGCACCAACAGAAAGACAAACAATATGTTTGAGATCAAATCAAGCCAAAACTTGATACAAAAATGACAAATCTTTGAGCACATAACAAGAAGGCAAGACTTACTGGAGAGACAATCTTGCTATTAGTATTACATTTTTACACTGCCCATAGCCAAAGCTCTCTAGGCAGTTGACAGCAATAATCATAGAATCATACGCTCAAGTCACCCATCCCACTTCTGCCCTGGCCTGACCCTGCTTAGCTTCCAAGATTAGACAGAATCAGGCACTTCAGGCTACATGGAAGCTACGAAAGTCTAAGGCAGAAGAAGAGGAAGCTCAACCATGAGGTAGATAGATCAATTCCTCAAAGAAAGCCACAGCCTTGAGTAGGGCTGCCAAGAACAGAACATTTTGGAGGGTGTTCATTCCTAGGGTTCCATAAGTCAGAGATGACAGCACATCTCATCAACAATATGTGCACCCAAGCTTGCATATATTTCTCACTTGACATTTTCAGATGCATCTTCATTTTCTTTCTCCGTAGTCTTTGCCCAACACACACACCACAAACTCTCAAAAAGTAAATGGTATGATTCCTGTTGTATGTGCATGTGCTGACCTGTTCATTGAAGCACCATGGAAAATGTCAACGCAATGTTAGCAGTGGCAATTCATGTTACTATTACAGGCAGTGCATTTAAGAAAGAAAAATAAGTACCCTTCATCTGTGTAGCGAAAGTAAGTGCCAGCTTTGCAAACAGATCTGGATTTTCAAATTTTTCTTCTTTTGCTTTTACCCAGAAGCAATGTTCTGAAATATCCTGTGGTTCAACCTGAAATAGAAATAGAATTGGTTAGGTACTATCCACCCTGAGCTCAGAGTGCAAGCTACCAGTTTAAATAACAAAATGCATGGCAAAGCATAGTGCTACAGTGGGAGTCAGGAGATCTGGGTTGTAGATGTAGAGAGTGGGTCTTTCTATCTGTTCAGATAAATTTGTCTGATTCTGTGGGAGAGGTGGAGTTGCAAGAAGGGGCAAAGGTGTTGAAGTTTCAAGGTTACCTAGCAAAGTTTCTTAGACAAAATGTGAGAACTGGCCTTCTTTGGAAGGGGCAGACCAGTTGTCAAGATGAGGAGGGGACCATATATGCAACTCAATCCTTGACTGAGTAGGGAGGCGATAGGAGAAACAACCTGCCCAGTTGAAGAATCTCTGTCATTCCCACCATCAAGCTGCATGAGCCACCCTGAGGGTGGAGTCAGAAGCTTTACTGAAAAGGGGAGAAAGAGGAAGTTTCCAGTTTGGGTTCAACTCTTTAAACTGGTAGATTCTTGTAGAATCTTGTAGAAGCCTAGTGAGAATTCATACTGTTCTGATATCTGTTAAGTTTCAATAACAGAATTGCCCTTCAAAAGACTGTACTGAGTTTGATAAAGAGAAGAAGGAAAGAATCAGCTCACAACAGCAGTACCCATTCAGCAGCGGATCAGTGACTGACACCCAGCCTAGTTGATAGTTGTTGCAAGGATAAAATGGGAAGAATAAATCTTTGTAAGCTGCCTTAAGTTCCTTGCAAGAGGAAGTAAGATGGGGCATAAATGTAATGTTAATTATAAATGCACTCCCTAAAATCAAGGAAGGAAATTTTAACTTATCAGCAATCCAAACTTCTAGTCTTCCTCATTAAAGTAAAAAATAAGTTGGAAGGGAAACATGAGGAGATATGTCTTCTTCACACAGATTTTACACTAAGCTCAGAATGAACATGACAATTTTTGATATTTTTAACATATGACAAAATGTTGAAGTCTTAATCCCCCATAGTCCATGGAATGGAGACTGAATGTGTTCTAAACTATTCTTTTTCTTGATTGCACTTTGGAATCTAGCTCAATACACTGGGGCTGTACTGCTGTATTGTACAGGAATTTTATGTGTAGATAAAATGAAGATCTATTCATTGCAGTTCTCTGGTCACGTCCAATAGGATAATAATAAATGGTGTTTATACATCTGAATTGCAAGTATGTCAGAATATTAAGTGTATTGTGTCATGCTTTGCATTCATAATGTACAGGAACCTCAGACTGCATTATCTTCAGAAGTTTCATTAGATGAAATTCCTGACCTGAACTTGCAGAAAATCATGTACATAATTCAGCTTCCTACTGTTCAGCTAGTACAGCAGAATGAATAGTAATAAGCCCATTCATAAATGGAATCTGACTCAATGAATGAGCTCCAAACAGTGAACAAACTCAAATAAAGCATAGAACAGGTGCCTTGTAATGCCTAATAAAGAAAAAAACCTGTATTTTATTCTTCTTCACATAATACATGGGAAAAGTTTTCAGAGAAAGCATTGTATGTTATCAGCTCATGGGAAAACAAATGTGATAAAAACCAAAATTACTGTTCTTTTCCAAATAGACCATTACAGGCTAAAACAGCTAAGGAACAATCCAAGGTCTACCACCTTTGAACTCAGAGACTTATGTGCATCCAAAGCACAGAGTGAGGTGCAAGCTCTAGTTGAAGCGGCATGGAGAGAGCGGAAAGGTAAATGGCTGACTGCCTGGATACACCCTGAGCCATCAGACCCCGCCTCCTCTTACCACCACCACTTCCCCACACACCCCTTTCCTTCCTTCCTTTCTAGGGCCTATTTGAAACCTCAGTGAGGCCGCCCACATGGCTCTTTCCACATGAGCTGTAAGGGGTGGTGGTAGATGCTCAACTTTTGGAGTCCCAGCAGGACCTCAGAGCTGCAATTACAAATAATCTAGTGTACCCTCCTGATAATGTTGGGACAGCACAGAACTGTGCCCTTTTCTATCTAATATGGTTCTATATAAAATGCTACTCTGTGACCAAAAGCTGTTTCTGTCACACCCTAGTCAGTTTGCAATAACTAATGCATGCAGTACCTGCCCAAGTAGCTGCCCTGCCCATCTCCATTAAAGGAATGATAGAAGAGGAGAACTGCAGAGGCAGCCTTGGAGAACATGCGGCGTGAGCAGATTTAGAGAGCTTTTTAACCTTATAGACTCTAAATGAGCATGTCTTCTTTCCAAATCAGTAGGATGGAAACAAACAAAAAAACAAACAGGGAATCAGAACTGGTTCCTCACATTATGTTAAGGTAGTTTTTGCTGCCCTTCCTAATAACCAGGGCGAGCCAGATCCACTAAGAAGGATGAAAGGAAGGTAGAAGCAGTTCTCGCATTCTTTGATCCATTTGAAGAGTGACAAGAGTGCTCGTTAACTGAACAGAGGTGATCCCTCATGGGGAGTGCAGCTAGTTCTGAGACCTTTTCGATGATGCTACAGCTGCAAAGAATAGCACCTTGAAAGAAACACAATGTACTGAAACACTTCTCAACAGCATAACAGGGGAGCAGGTAAGAGCTGATAGTGTCACATGCAGACTGTAGTGGAAGCAAGATGTAACTGGAAGACATAGCTGTGTCATTTCACTAAGGATCTCTGAAGCTACCAGTGATAGCCAAGTGACTTGTGGTAGAGCCCAGAAAGAACAGGAGGGAGGGATAGCTTGTCTGCAGAGCAGGTTCACTCTGAGTCACCTCATCCAAGCCCTGTTTAGAGCAACAGAAGCAATCCCTTGATTCCTGCTTCCAAGTCATTTCATACATTTGCTTGGTAGTGGAGGAAAGGGTTATTACTTCAGCAGAATAGCCCAGTGAGAAAAAGGAGTTCTGTTCAATAACCAAGTGGCCAGATATAGCTCCTCTAGATCAAAATGCAAGATCGGTCGATATGCCACAAGACTGGTCACAGAGGAAGGAATTATGGATCTGTTTGTGTCACTCAAAGGATCTGAAGGAAGCAAATATATTCATGGAAGTATATCCATGATGGAGCCAAATGACTGGAGAACAATATGGCAGCTATTTGTTGGGAGGAAAGGTGAAGAGGTCCACCTAGAATGGACAAAATGACAATAAAGACTACCATCTCAAGAGTCTGTCCTCTGGGATCAAAGTATTATTGACCTGGAAAGTATGTCTCTATATTAAGTAAAGGAGAGGACAGTGTATTCTGAGCAGAAGAGGAAGCAAGCTCTTCCCTGTGTAAGGATTTTGATTTCACTCCTCTCTATAGCTTAAGGATTAAGACTATCATGTTGGTTGAAAGGAGCACATCTCAGTGCGCCAACCATTTCATAATGTGGCTTTGTTTCAGAATGCAAGAAATCATGGCTGGTGTGGTCCTAGCAAAGAGCCTCACCCCTCCAGAATGCTTTCTGTTGCAGTAATTATGGGACATGTCTCTTGAAAGGTGCCCCCTTTTATGAGTGTCATGGCGAGTTTCACCGAAGAAGGTGCACTCTGTTTGAGGTGTGGCAATCCTCATGTAATGCCTGTGAATGATATCAATTTCAAATGGGAAAAGGACCCCCTTAAGTGTAGACTGCTCCGTGGCCAGAAATCACAAGATTCAAGGGCTTGTGTTAGCAATGCGACATCTACCCAGAGTATTTGAGGACTGCCACTTTGTTACCTGAGTTCGGAAATTCCATACTGAGCGATATTTATCTCTTTGGAGCTGCCAAGTAAGTTTTGGAGGGTTTTAAATTTTATCAAGAAAACATAACCGTGGAGACAGGACAGCATGATCCATAGCTTTGTGGATCCATAGAAAAATGACTTGCCTCAAAAATGGGCAGGCAGAAAATGCCATCAATCTCATATTAAACCAAAATCTCTGTCATTGCTTCCATTTAGGATTAGAAAAGTGAGGAATAATATTTGCGATGTCCTAGTTGCATACCTTTGCCCAGTTAATTCTTTTCATAGACACTTCAGGGCTATATTTTTTCTTCTGCTTCATCCCGAAGGGCAGTGCTGGTGGAGCTCCCAGAGGAGGTATCCCACCAAATGGAAATGGTGGAGGTGGAGGGCCCCCAAACATCGGTGGTGGAGGTGGAGGGGGTATGCATCCTCCATGCAGAGGAGGAGGTGGAGGTGGAGGTGGTAAAGCACCAGGCAATGGTGGTGGTGGAGGAGGAGGTGGAGGAGGAGGACGACCGTCTTGAAGAGGGGGAGGTGGGGGTGGGGGTGGAGGAGGGGGAGGTTGTATCCCTGCTGATGGTAAGCCACTTGAAGATGTAGGACCCTGCAAAACAAACATGTTTTGAATTTGGAGATTTGCAGAGAAGGGAAAGACAGAATGCTACTTTTATGACAATCACAAAAGGAAACTCACAAATCTAATTCAAATGACAATTTGGGAACCATCACATTCTGGATGTCTCCCAGGCCATTCAAGTATGCAAGGTCATTTGATGGTGTTTCATTACATATTACTGAAGGATTTCACCAAGATGAGATCCATAATGAAAGAAAATGTGATACCATGGGGGAAAAAATTGAATCAGTATGACTCATTTAACAGGAATGGGTTATATTTCTGGTACTATATTACAGTGAGAAGCAGTAAGCACCATATGTAACTTTTGTAAGAGTTTCTTCACATTAAAATAGATCAAGAGAATTAATGAAGTGACATTTAAAAACAAGAAAAAGGTCCATTAACAAAATACATTCCAGAGCTTTAAGATATTTTTATCTGCCTGGTATTCATAGAACTGTTAGAAAGAAAGCCAAGTGGCTGAAACCAAATTATCATCATGAGGTTCCCATATTTAAATATTCACTACTTCAGAAAATCCATCTTTTAAATGATATTAACTGTACAGGCTAGAAAATTGGGATAAAGTTCTGGGCCTTGGCAGTGATTTTTAATAAGGTTCATGTCCACTGGGAAGGAAACATGAAGGAAGATCATTATCTATACCAATATAAGCATTCAACACTCTAAGACCTTTGAGGTCCTAGATCAAATATCAGAATGTCTTCTGTACAGTAAAATGTGACACCAGTGGAATGAAAAGGAATAAATCAGAAATCTACTTCCCGCAGTTGTCTTTCTAGGATCAACTCCACTGGCTCAAATGGGCTTTCACTGGCAGACTAAGGAACAGGTTGACTTACAAACCAATATTTTGAAACTGTCCCCTTAAGAACATCAACAGTAGAAACACAGACTGTACTGTGCTGGTTTTTTTCATCTTTAAACAGAAAACCATAGTGAGTTAATCGCATCATTTATATGTCAGTTAAAACCCCTACCATCCTATTGGCACTAAATATCAATTAACGAAGGACATAAATTCTTAGAATTTTCAGGTAGCATTTGAGTACATTGATGCAAACTCCAATTTTTTTCCATAATCATACCCAACTACATTCAAATGCCAAAAGATTTAGAAAATAGCTCCTCTAACAGCCTTTCAGTGCAACTGAATCTAATATAAATTGCTCATTTACAATTTGAATTATCTGCCTTAAGCAGCACTTATTTCCAGATCAGTTGCAACAAGCTTCCTAACCTAGCACATCAAAACAATATATAACCAAATGAACATGCTCACAAAACCAAATGCATGTGACACACTCTTAGCAGTTGCTTTCGGGGGAAAAAAATCTTCAAAAGGGTTCATTTTTACTTGGATGCCATGCCGCAAAGATCATCTTCTTTCGTGCATTTAGTTTTACTGATTGAATACTGGTTACAGAATTGCTTCACTCAAAAAAGGCCCATAAAATCTACCAGGTCTGCTGCCAACTTACCATACATGAGTACCAATCCTATGACAACATTAAGCGCACGCTCCCCAACTTTTAAATGGAAGGAGCAGGTGTACGTGTGCACATCTATGTTGTGCAAACACGCACATACACTCTTCTTGTGCCTTTCTTGAAAAGAATGGAGAAATTTCTGAGGGAGGTGGACATTTCAGGGACATAATTCAACTTTTGTAACTCTTTTAATTACTGATTAAACTGCAGGCTTTACAGGCCACTAAAATTATTTACATATTCTTTCTCCTGGTTACACGGGAGATAAGCAGACCATAACATCTTGTGAGATGACCTGGAAAGATGTATAGAAAGAACATCAAACACCAAAGCAAGAGTTCTCTTACCACCTATTTGCAACTTGTTGATTGCAACAAAATTAATTCACTACTTCCCCAAAGTAGAACTAGTTCCAACAAGGTGTAAAGTTACCTGGGCTCGTATCTGCTGGATTTCAGCTTCCAGCTCTTTGATTTTATCTTCTAGTTTCTGAAGCTCAGCTTGCGCCTCCTGTCGAGCTGTGAACTCTTCATCAAACTGCAGTGATTGGCAACACAGAAACACACATCTATCTTTATCCAAACAATACTGTAACTTTGATACAAGTATTGTTTGGATACAGACTGACTAAACAACAGAAGCTTGCTTGACTTCCTAGACTACTCATACATATAGCTACAGATGTAGAAATACAGAAATCTCTCTCATTTTTCAAGACCCAAACTATTCACTGCAATAAACCATCCAGAGTCAGCTCTCCCCACATTCCTGTCCAGTAGCAGGTATTTAAAAGTAAACATTTTAGATGAGCTCATTTGTATTTTTGACAGGTTGCAAAGTTGAAAAGCTAAGGATTAAATTGTAACACCTAAAACCTGACTCAAACTTCACCCATATCAGTATCTTGTTGCCACATAAGTATAGCAATAGTACATTTGTAGAAATCATTTCTTTCTAAAGGTATGCAGACTTCAGAGGTAATGTATCACACTGGTCAGCTATATTACTGAGTCATGTAATAATTGCTTTCAATGAAAGTAGCATTTCCACGATGAGGCCCTGAATCTCCGACAATTTTTAAAGGGTTTTCAAGGCATTAGAGACATGGATATGTACAGTAATTCCCAATCTGATACCTTTGATTAGTTTCAGTTGCTAAATCATATTGCAATGGATAGTGGGCAATGCTTGTTCTGTAATTTTTCTTGTAACTCTCCATCCCTTTTTTCTTCTTTTGTTTTGTCTTTAGATTATAAGCCTGCAGACTGCTGGTGTCTTATTTTTATGAGAGCTGCCACAGCAGTTATTTTGACAAAAGAAAGTGAACTGAGAAAGGGTGGGAACCCCACCTATTTATAATGGGGCAGGGGCAGAGTTCCCACTAAAAATCATTGAACTGGGAGAATCTTCCTGAACTTGGGCAGTGTGCAGGCTCAGCACCCATGCATGTGATGCACAGAGACCACGAAGAAGAAACCCCTAAATATTTAACAATTATGGGTTTAAGTCAAAATTGTTGTTGTTGTTAGTCGCGAAGTCGTGTCCGATCCATCGCGACCCCATGGACAACATTTCTCCAGGCCTTCCTGTCCTCCTCCATCCCCCGGAGTCCACTTAATAAGTCAAAATATCCTACGGTAAATTACCATTACGATGTCTGGCACTGTACATGGACCTTTCTCAAAGTATGTGCAATATGGTAGCAATCAGGCCCCTCATTACAAAAGGGATACAGCCAGGTTGGAATCAGTGCAGCGAAGGGCCACTAGGATGGTGGCTGGTTTGCAGGGAAAGCCAGATGAGGAGAGACTGGGGGAGCTGGGTCTTTTCAGCCTTGAGAGGGAGAGGTTCAGAGGGGACCTCTTAGTGACACACAGGTACATGAGGGGGTGCCACGCAGATGTGGGACATGACCTTTTTTTCTCTGCAGTGGAGGGCAGGACATGTTCCAATGGATCAAACCAAGATTTAGGGTGGATGCCAGGAAGTTTTTCCTCACACTTAGGGCCCCCAGGGTATGGAATGGGCTTCCATGGGAGGCCCCATCAGTGAGGCTGTTCAAGGATAGGCTAGATATATTTAGCTAGAATTTCCATAGAAATGGAAAAAGCTAGGAACATTTGCAAAGTGAGAGGAAACCACAGAGTATATTAAACAACTGAAATCAGGGCACAGCAGTGTTGTTCATTCCTAGTTTCCAACCTGTGTTACTCTCATGAAATGTGTTTTAATTTTCATAAACTAGGACAGTCCATACCAGCCTGGTGCTATCCAAATGTAGTGCAATTTCCATTGGCCTTGTTAAACAGAAACAAAGGAAGCTGTAGTCCAGCTCATCTAGAGGGCACACAGCTTGGGAAACCTCTACTGGGAACTAACACCATGGCGCAGTGACCATCAGCATTGGTCACTATACATCGCAATGTGCTTTAGTACAGCCAATAAGACATGGGTTAAAAATGCTACGCTCTAACTGATACCTACCAATCTAACCTGCATTTGCACCACAGAAGTAGTCCTAGGCCAAGTAGGGATTACTCCTTTTGATCCCAGTTGGTCTGTTCCCACTATTGTGACCTGTCTTGTTGGAAGAAATGCCACTGTGATGCGTATTAGCTGTCTGAAAGATTCCATTACAATTGGATCATCACCAGCCCATCAAGTGCAAGGTAGAGAATAGTGGCAAATGACCAGCATTATTACCTAGCGCATCTGAGGTATTTCTTCAGACCAGTCTCCAAAGACTACTTGACTCACAGGAACTTATCAACAATTTCAAATTATTTTCATTTTTAGGAACTAGCTTTGTGCCTACCTTTCTGGAAAATTCTGTTGCTTTTTTCACACTTTCTTCTACTTTTGCTTTGTCCACACAGTTATCTGAAAGGATTCCCACCGTAAAGATTAACATAAAGGTCCACTTTAAAAGACAAATATGTACATAAATAATTCCATTTGTTGTTGAACCAAGCATACACAAAGAGCCAGTGTTTCTGCAGTTTCAAATTCAATGTTGTAGCAGCTTGATGCTAACTATATTCAAGCATTTTTTATTTGCTCACCTAGAGAGTTTCAAAACATGACATGTTTTCTACACAATATACTTGTGACAAAATTTTGATTAATGATAGACCAAAAAGTAATCATCTATTCAAACTCCCTTAATTTTCAGTGAAAAAAATGGTACAAAGATTTCCATCCAGTTAGCGTTTTTAAAAATCACATATGCCTGTCTTTCCAGAGCTTTCCAGCTATTTCAGGTTGCCTAAGAAATCAGATGCATGCACAGAAACTCCAAGAAACTGAACAGCATACCAAAAGCAACATCCCAGAGTGGCACAGTATAATCTGCTGAAGCTTAACACATTAGACTTGCTCCCACATCTCTGATGCACAGGCTTCAGTCCTGAACTCATCTGTCTGAAAGTATATTTCATGCTGAAATAAGAGTTTTTTGTATGCATAAGGTATGTAATTATTGGTAAAGAGGACCACTTCATCACACCTGAATTCCAGAGACTATGGAGCAGAATCTGAGCCCCTTTTAGTCCTATAGATTATACTTTTTATACATAAAGAGAACTTCTGACTACTGGCTGAACTGGACCCAGAAACAATGATCTTAGGGAAAAATAAAATTTTTAAATAATACCATAACAGTGAAACAGGTAGCCCTAAGATGTACATACCTATAAGGTGATTCAAGTCGACTTCCAATCTTCCTCTAGACTTGAAATCAGGATCCATGCCACTACAGTGTAATACTATTTGTGAAACACATTCCTCTATTATCTTGTAATATTGAGGCCTATCATATTAAAATACAATAATTATGATTCATAATTAAGACACTCCACATAAACATTTAAACATATTAAAATAATAAGAGCATTCAAATGATCTTAACAACTAATAAGACCAAATCTGCTTTCACACATATGACAACTGAATTATTTTGTTTGGTGTTGTTTTGAAACAAGACCCAGCACAGGTGGAACACGCACAAGCAGGGTCTTTCCTAGGAACAATGCCCAGCTTACCCATCTCCCCTCAGTCCACATCCATAGGAGCCAGAAGGGACTATTATTAGGAATTATTCAGTATGTTCTATATAATACATATCTCCATTCAATCCTTCCTCCCGGTGTGCCTAAGCATGAGTTACCTGTAGCATGTCAAGGAGGACGACTGGATAGCTATATAAAAGGGATTCGCAGGTGCCCTAATTCCCAAGCAAAGAGGAAGTCAAACTCTACTGAGCCTAGGGCAGGGATGCATAATTTGTGGAATTCCAGATATTTTGGAGTGCAATTCCCATATGGCTTAGCCACTGCCCATGCTGACAGGGAGGATAGGAGCACAACAATATCTGGAAAGTTGCAGGTTCCCCATCCCAAGAGAATCAATTTTCCATATGCTGAACTGTTCCCCAAACCTGCAACTAAATGCAAGGAATGGGGAGGGAAGCATAGGAATGGTTTCTTTCCTTTTTTGAAGAATGCCCTTTACTGATCACCCCATTGCAAAATAACCTAACTCAATGTAATAAGGAGAAACCCCAAATTTCAGTCCCATTATGCGTATCCTCTCCATCAGAAAAAGGAAGCAATGCAAGTAGACAAAGAAAGCTCAAGATTCAACTGGAGTAGATACTTGATACTAATTAGCCCTGCCCAATACTATATTATCATTATAATGTGTTTCACTATGGTAGCCCTGAATTGTCATCTTCAGTATCCAGAGAAGTTACCTGGTATAACTATGGATGTAAAGATGCTGTTATTTAATTGCTGAATTTGCTTAGAAATTATTTCCATTTAAGGCTTGTCAGAAATTATTCTCTATTTTCTTGTATGCCATTTCTATTTCCTTAAAGGCAGCCAAGAGATCTGTGCCACTCCCCCTGCAAGAATGCCACAGTTCTAGATTGTAAGTATCCAGCTTTAGAATAATTAGCACAATGGCTGGTTGGTGTTGATTGTTAAGCAGCAAGTGCCTGGTCTACCATGCAAGAAGGGTGGGAATTCATGTTCCTTCCATTAGAAGATGACATTACAGCCAAAGAGCAAATCTGTTGTGCCAACACAAATTGTAAAGTGAAAAGAAAAATAGCTGACTTACCGAACGTAATAATCATTCCTGATGAGTAGAAAATGTTGTAAAATAGATAGGAAGTAGTTTTCAGATGCTGTTTCTTTCAGCATATTATTCAGCAGATGGAAAACTTCATTCACATCAGTACAAGGAATGTCAAGGAAACAACAAATACCTTTACAGGAATAGATTGTAAGCCTGCAGTTTGGAAGACCAGAACCCAAAATGACCTAAACTGTCTTCCACAGGCAAATGACTCTTTGGACTTTAATCATGAATCATGTACATCTACAGCATCTATTTGGATCCACCCAACCCCTCCCCGCAAAAAAGTAATAGTACTGATTATGTTTTTTTCTAAAACTGATGAACTTAAGGTGCATATATGAAAATGAACAAATGAGCATCTAGAGGATTCCATTGGGTCCCTCCTGACGGAAGATGATTGGAGCTACAGTTCCACACACCTGGGGGGTGCTCAGGTAAGAAAGGCTGTTTTGAAATGTTAAAACTTACTTTGGAACCAGATATGCACTAACAAAGATAAGTTATTTACCTGTACATCTCCAAGTCGTCATCTGTGCATTCACACAGTTCTGGAAATTTCTATAGTTGAGAAATTTTTGGCAAAATCCTCCCCTACAGTTCCAGCACATATGTTCCTAGTGAGTTCCCAGCTATTCCTCAGCCTCTTGAGACCACCCACAACACTTACAAAACCAAGTAGAACCTCAGGGTCAACAACATCAATGATCGCAAAGCAGGGACAGCAGGTGGGCTATGTGAATCCACAGTTGACCACTTGGAGAACTACAGAGGTAGTAGAGAGGTAAGAAAGGTGCCTTCTTCATGGTCTCTGTGCATCATATACACGGGCATATAAGCAAGCTGATTTACTGGTGGCAAATCAGTGTCCTGCTTTAAGACAACCGACAGAACAGTACACCCAAAGGAACAATCCACTCCAGCTCACATACCAAGTCAGCAAAGATTTTAATCAGGGAAATACTTTTCCTAAATGTCACTAACGAAGCTATGGCATGAGCTGAGTGAACTTGAATAAGATGAGAAAGAATAAGGCCAGCTAATTTATATGCCAACTTAATAGCATGGACCAGCTAGGATGAGTCCCTATGAAGAAACTTGGAGTCCCTGCCACACTCAGATAAGGAAAAGGACTGACAAAAGGGCTCAGGACTGATTTGTAAGAAAGCCAATGCCCTTTGAACATCTAGTGTACGAAGAAAAATAAGCAGATGGAAGAAAGCCAAGAGAACAACATCCTATTAAAGTGGAGCTCGGAGACCATCTTGTGAAGGAATGCAATACTGGGGTGGAGGAGCCACCTATTCTGATAGAAAATCGTATCAAACAGTTAAAGTGAGCTACATTCTCTATGTTGCTCACACAAGGGTAGATGAAAGAAAACTGATGGAACATTTCTGAACCACTAGGGACATATGCACTGGTGGGGGAGGATTCCCACCAAGATTTTCACAACTATCAAACAATAGTTTTCCAAATGGGGCTTCAGGCAGCCAGAGACTCCATCTGTGTCAGGCACAGAAACCACAAAGATGACCTAGTAGAACTAGTAATGTGTAGGTACTCTCCTTCCCAGTTACCTGGGCTCCAGTAATATGAAAGTAGTTACATTCTGTGCTGTTGTTGTTGTTAGTCGCGAAGTCGTGTTCGACCCATTGCGACCCCATGGACAACATTTCTCTAGGCCTTCCTGTCCTCCACCATCCCCCGGAGTCCACTCAAGCTCACGCCAACTGCTTCAGTGACTCCATCTAGCCACTTCATCCTCTGCTGTCCCCTTCTTCTTTTGCCATCTATTGTTCCCAGCATTAGACTCTTCTCCAGGGAGTCCTTCCTTCTCATTAGGTGGCCAAAGTATTTGAGTTTCATCTTCAGGATCTGGCCTTCTAAAGAGCAGTCAGTGTTGATCTCCTCTAGGACTGACCAGTTTGATCCCCTTGCAGTCCAAGGGACTCGCAAGAGTCTCCTCCAGCACCACAATTCAAAGGCCTCAATCCTTTTGCACTCAGCCTTCCTTATGGTCCAGCCATACATTGCAACTGGGAAAACCATAGCCTTGACTACACACACTTTTGTTGGCAGGGTGATGTCTCTGCTTTTTAGTATGCTGTCTAGATTTGCCATAGCTTTCCTCCCCAGGAGCGTCTTTTAATTGCTTGGCTGCAGTCCCCGTCTGCGGTGATCTTGGAGCCCAGGAAAATAAAATCTGTCACTACCTCCATTTCTTCCCCATCTATTTGCCAGTAGCCTGACATAAAGTGCATTACAGCAGTTGGACCTAGATATCACTAGTGTTTGGATGACAAAGGCCTAAGCATGTCCATAAATAGTTCAGTAGCTCTCACTTTTGTTTCTAATGAGCCACAGCTTGCTCTAAATTTGGACAAACTAAGATTTTTCTTAACTACAGTAAGTGGAAACAAGCCAAATTCAAACCATAGTGTATGAAGCTGTTTTTTTTCACTAATCATAATAAAGATTAACCAGTCTAAGATTCAGCTGATGTGTTTTAGATTAATCACAGTTTACCACAAGTGGCAATTTCTAATATCTTTATTTCAGGCATGTCAGAATAGAAAGGGGAATATGGCGAAGGAGACGGCTCATTTCGTAATGCTACATCATGCAATCATTTAGTCTTCCAGAAACTTTTCCAAAATGGGAGCAGCATTTTATTTTGGTAAGAGAGTTGCAGTGTAAGATCACTGCAAATCATCCATATGAGAGCCAGTGTGGTATAGCTGTTAACAGAGCTGGACCAGGACCCAGGCAATCTGGGTTCTACTCCCCACACAGCTATGGAGCTCATTGCGTGACTTTGGGCCAGTCACAGACTCAGCCCAGTCAATCTCACAGGGCTGCTCCCAAGAGACTGAGAGAAGAATAATTATGTAACCCAGCTTGAGATCCTGGGAATAAAATGGGGCGGGATACAAATTAAATGAATGAGGAAATGAATAAATATCTGAGAGAAAAAACAGTAAAAGAATAATAAAGGCACAGAATTAATGCCTGGACCAAAAAAACCCAAGACACATACTCAAGCTTATGTATTGTTCTTGTAGTAATGAAGCAACCAGCATTTAACAGTTTAGTGATATGGAAACATGAGATAAAAATCTGTCTATGAAACAATAATTTTTACAATCCAGCTGCTGTGAGAACAGGGAAAACTTTGCTAAGATTAAACTACATCGAGGCAGTCTTAGGACTGCAAGTAAGTCCCAAAAGACTGGGAAGTGAAGAAAAAGGCAACCCAAAGTCAAGGAGGGGTGAAAAGGCTACAGTGCAAGCAACAGATTGAGGGGAGAAACTGAAAGAAGAATTATATTTGAGAAAATAGAGGTGGGAACCGCGACAAGAAAAGGCTGAGCCACAAAAGGTTGTGCTGTACAAGAAATTTCACAGAACAAGAGACAAGGTGCTTTATGCTATATGAAAGTACAGCAGAATACAAAGAAGGTAGAGTGGCTAAAGCAAGCGCAACGGAGTAGTTTTCCTTTTCCCTCTCCAATGGCACCAGGAAGCCATGCTGGCAAGGTTGAAATGTGCATAACAGTTTCAAATTAAGAGTCACTTCTTTGGCTTCTGGTCTCCTTAATATTTTATCTCCAGTCTTTTCAATAGACACCTTTGTACTTAACTCCTCTCTGTACCCTAAGGTTCAGGAACTTTACTCCTGTTCAATTAAGTGATGTAATATTTGATCTGTGTTTCATTGATTTGTCACCCGCACCCGTACTCCAGTTTAGTTGTTTATCCCCCATATCTTCATGTTTGTTTCAAATGAGATTACAGTAAATTGCTTTATTGTCTAAAGCTATTCCATTACATATTTGTAAAAAGATTCTGCATTATTCTTACCCTCTACTAGTGGCTAACTCTTTCTGTAAGCCTCTAATCAACTCATCTTGATTTCAATGTCTTTTTATGTGAGTATTCATTTCTGCAGAAAATAATGTCATCTTTAAAAAGGATATTCCATTTCTACTTTGATGTCATTGAGGCGGTGGGCCAATTCAATTAAGTCTTCTTCTTTGTTTTCATCAAATACTTTCAACTGAATATCAAGTTCTTCATTCTCTTTCTCTTTTAGATCCTAGCATACCATAAAATAAATTGAATAATTTATCTTAAAACTTATTCTAATGTAATAATAATTTAATTGGCTTACTTCCATACCTGCCATACAACTAAGCCTAGCTAATGAGTTTGTATATTGAGTTTCAAAGTGTCAAGGTGATTCAGACACATTTCGTTCCTGTATATGTTTCAGATTGACATATTTCACCAGAATATAATACATATAGACTATGTAACAAAATTATTATCCCATAGGTATCAACAACCACAAACATTTTAGATAAAATAACAAATTGATCCAGTGCAACAGTTGAGAAACACTTAAAGGATTTATAGAATTATAATGCAAATTGTTTGTAACAATAAGTATATCTGAATAAATCATGCTGATATATTCAAGCACAACAGTCCCAAGTATGGCGTGATTAGAACTCCGTTTCAATTGCTGTTCCTGCTCTGCTAACCCAATAGCATTATTCCAAAAAAAAAACTGAGCCCAGTTAAGGAACTCTATCCCTGCACTTTCCATGGAAAATCAGCCTAAAACCCTTAAAAGTGCTATCTTCATAGTCTTCGTCAACATACCCATATAAGCCTCAAATCTCAATATGAATGGTTCTCTTTCAAATGAGGCAATGGTGATACCTGTCTATCCAGAACACAAAATTCTTTGCATGTGCTGCTTAGGGTTTACCAGGCCCTTTGGAATGGTGTTGACGGTATTGTCAACGGTATTGATTGTCTATTATATGTTTATTTCTCAAGCCTTTTTTTTTATTAATATCAGTGCTGGGGTGGTGTTACTGGAAATTTCTTCATTTCCAGCAGTGGGTTGTACAAGGTGCAACTCTCCTACCTGCAAAGTAAAACCTATAACTAGCATAGATTCGGAACTAGCCCTTCAGTTTCAGAGATGCACCAATATTAATCAGAATCCACTCTCAATCATATCTATTCCTCTGCCATTCTTTAACACCCTGATTGAGTATACTCAAGAATGGTTGAAGAGAACTAACCTTTAAAACAGTTTTAGCTACATGGTGCAGTTGTATTTCTCCTTCACTTAAATGTTAATATTACTGACTGTTAAGTATTTCAAGCTGGCTTAGTACATGCTATTAACCAGTTTTTGTTTATGACTGCAAAACACCTCCAGCAAATTACATTGTATGTATCATTAAAACATACATTCAGTGAGAAGTATCACAAGTTTGAGTTTTATATAGTCCTTGTACATTAACATAAAACCATTTTCTCCTAAGTGAAACTACAATTTAAATATAGAGAAATTGTAACACATCAAAAGCACATGCATAAAAAAAGTTTATTTAAGGAAAAAAAGAAAATCCAAACTTTTATAGCATGCCACACTAGAGATTGTTGGGATTAATATATCACCTTGAATTTCTTTTACTATGATCCCTTTTATCTTGGTAGCTCTCAAAAGACATTCGATAATCACAACTGAAGAAACTGGAAGATGGAAACAGAAGAAGTAGGATGACCAGATGTGGCGCCTACAGTAAAAATGTCAGTAATGTGGAGCCCACAGTTAGCCACAGCAGAGAGAGCTAACTGTATTCAGTAATGACTGTCTGATTTGCATAGGAGGACTATAAACTAATTCAAAGGATCATCGGTCACTTAACCATGAGGTAAGAATACACATCTCATCATGTGGTCATACAATAGAATGATCTGTGGAAGGATATATGCAAAATCAAGCATTATGCCTGAAGTCATCAAATCTCTTGCAAACAAAATAAACATTTAATACTTGCATAAGCAAAAGCTGTTTATTACATAAACAAACTCTATGCTCATGAGGCATTTACAGCAAACCTTAGTCTAAATTAAAATCTAGTGGGACTGGGCATCGAAATGAAAATGATTTCTTTCAGTTCATGGTTATACTGAAGTTTGCTTCAATGAAAGTGTCAAAAAGATAATCCTGCACTCATTGTGGTAGTCAGTATTGTTCCTCCATTTTAGTTTTTATACAGAAACTGTTTTATAAACAATTGCATAGTTAGGAAAGAACTGAGACCATAATTTCAATGAATCACATAAACTTAGTACTACCTCAATACACCTTAAGTTCTAAAACTACCTTTAAAAATATTAACTAATTTAATTTGCCTCGTATTTTTTTTAAACCAAAATGCCAAGTAAACCTCATTTCAAGGCCATAAAAAATACCCTGCAGTTGTGTAATGAAAGATTTAATTGAGGGTGAACATCTGTCACTCATGATGCTTCACTATAAAGCTGGCTATGCAATAGTTGGTCCTCAATGCCAGGTCTATAATAGATCAAATCTACTCATTCCCTGCTTATTAAATGAGCAGGTTTCTGGTTATCTGCAGTAGCCAGCTACTTATTAAAATAGGGATCCTTCACTGAATGTTCAAATTAAAATCTAACTTATGTCATAGGCTAGGAAATAAACTTCATTACTGTGTTAGCCTGGTTGGGCTTTTTATATAATGCAAGAAAGAGAAGAAAATAAATACTAAATCAATTTGTGTGTGTGTGGGGGGGGGTCCCTATATCTACTAATGCAATCAATCATCTACTGTTGATTGTGAAAGACAATGTGATTATATTTGTCAAGTCAGTGATTAATTTGGAGGTGAAATGATTTATTCTAACTTTTCAGTCATAATCCCTGCTATTTTTCTAAGCTGTCTTTCTCTTATAAATATACTGTGGGAGGTGGAGATATTTTCAGTATAGATATAATTGTCACAAGCCATTCTGTGCCCATTTCCAATGTGTTACAATATCCCAATAACTTTGGAAGATATTGTTAACTGCAGTACATACAGACACATGATGGCTTCTTTTTGCTATGGGAATAACACAGTATTCAGAGGAAAACAATGGCACATTTCCATTGCTGCATCATTACATGCCGTTGCATCACAGTTCTGTACACAGATCATCTACATCATTCATCTGAACAAAGGGAACTAGAGGTAATTGCATGGACTTGAGGAAGTGTGATAGCTTTAAAGGCAAGACCAATTTTCCAAATGCTATACCATGCACATCCAAGACAGAAAGATCACCAGGTATGAGGGAATCCAAGGTATGCCGAACCAGAACTTTAGAAGGAGAAAAAAAAGACCCGAGAGGAGAGTCTCAAAACAGGCAGGTTACTTACCTGTAACTGTTGTTTTTTGAGTGGTCATCTGTGCATTCACACATATAGGGTGCTGTGCCTCCACAGTGCCTGAATTCAGGAAGATTCTCTCGGCTAGTAACATCTTTGGCAGGACCCCGTATGTGTGATGCACAGAGACCACGATGAAGAACAGCCAGTTGCAAGGGGAGACAAAATAAAAGTAATGGGCTGGTTGACTGTTAACACTGAAAAGGATCACTTTGTTGCATTCAAACTGAGAAAAGGGAAAAGGATCAACCACACATATGGTCACAAAGTGCATCAACTTCAGGCTTGATCTTATATACAGTGCCCAGAATAACTGCCCACATATCTAATAGATCTTTTTCAAAACTGTAAGTTTAAATAGTCCGTGCAAACTTCTATTACAGAAACGGTGTTCCAATCACCCCACAGAATCATTTTGAGTCCAGCCTTAGGTCTCTGCAACCCATCTGTAGGAAAGGACATGCTTGTTAAATTTAAATGTTTCCTAATTTAGCAGTGAAATAATTCACAAGGGAACTGAGATTATAATATTTTAAAACACTAACATTTTAAAGATGATTAAAGTTTCAGAGATTCTTACTGATCTATAATACATTTAATGAATTTTCTTGATAATATGTCAAGTGGCCAGTTGTGAGTGTTATCCCCACAGATTAAAAAACAAAACAAAAACCCTGCAGCTACAAGGAGTACTTGCTGTGGTGAGCATTTTATCATCTAATATGCAATATAGGAATACTCCCATTAAAAAAAGTCTATCATAAAGTAAATCTTGATTTTATTTTAATAAAAAAGACAACATAAATTAAGCACCTGGCATACAGCTACTAAGAAACAGCAACAAACTTAACTATTATTCCCACAATTGCTTTAAAAGCACCTCAGACTTCTACAAATCCATTTAGGTTTTAATTCTCATTTTCCTAGATCAGCACCCTCTCCAACTGTTTCAGCTCTAGCCCAGATTTTTTTAACTGTTTGCTGTGATTTACAGACTGAAGATTACTCTATGGAATAGCTTAGAAACTGGCTGGAACATTATATCCCTGTCTTGGTAGTGACTTTACAAAAGTAGTGTGATAATTACTGTAAAGCTACAGGAGTGAAGCTACAGAAGTAAATGGGTTATTCTAACATCATGCCTTTCAGAAATAAAACACAGGTCCAATACTGTAATCTTGATTTCAATACATTACAAGTTTGCATGGCCTAGCAACAATACCATGTTTACAGTACAGTTAAATAGACAGATCAGACATGGTAACTATATATAGTATCAAGTATAAGACAAGATTTGATTATGCTTTTTCAGCTGTACTCAAATTAGCAACTCTTCTCCTTTGCATCTTTTTAAGATTTAAAATATTATGATACAATGTTATCAACTACTTTCTTAGGGAACGGCAACTTAGTTTGTGCCATCAGAACTGTATGCTGAATTTTAAAACCACCCGTACTGCATGGCTAAAAATAGTACCTTGCCTCATATTTAATTACTGTAGTTATCATGTTAGATATGTTTATGTGAACTGAGTGGTAAACTAGATGATAGTTGAGACCCACTCTAAGAACAGGTACTCTTCAGCACACTGTCTGCACAGGTGCTCTGTATCTGCCACCATGGATCTTAACTCACCGCGTAGTAAGACCTCCGCAGGAATGTACTACACATTGAGCAAATCATTCACTCCCTTCATATATGCTCCTCTTTATTTGTCATGTTATTTTAATAAACCCAGGAATATTAGTTCTTTTTTTAAAAGTTGCTAAGTATTGATGCTTTAATGTTATGCTTTTTTTAAAAAAAGGTGCAGGGTTGCTTTTTGTGTTCTTCATTTTTTAAGCATAGGACTTCAATTACAAGCTGGAGGGAAGATAATAAATGAATGTAAATAGATAAAGAAATACTTTTAAATAGATAAAAATAAATGTCATATTCCCTATTTACCTAAACAAGCATTATATCTCTTGCTTGCATTTGACAATACATACAGCAGGAATATTTATTACCATAATTTCAAAAGCCATTGATACCTTTATCTTGCTTATCCTTTCCTGTATGTAATTTTAAGATGGGGAATTGAGCCTCTATTAAGAATTGGCACTCTAAACAAGAAACTCCATGATGAAGTTGATGTAAAATTTGAGACTCATGTCTTGAGTTCATTAGCCTATTAACTTTGCCAGTATGCACTTAAAGATCCCTAGATCAACATAAATCAATGTAAGTAACCATTAGCCAATGCACTGAAATGAATTTCCATTATTGGACATTTTTAATGCTTTAGCATTTTCCTCCCATTTCACAATGATTAAAAATAATAAAGAACCATCGAACACACTTGGCCACAGGATGCAAGACCTGTGCAAGATTTATAATCGTAAGGCAAGCAATCAAGAGTTTTCGGTACATTCACAGTTCTTCTGCAAATAACTTACTGGCAATATTTTCTTTAGCCCACAGCGCAGGAATTCATTTCTCAAGTGTATCCTAAAATCAAGATCTTCAGGTGAAGTGACAAGGGCATTTATGAACTGCATGCAGGCTGCCTGTAATTAGAAATTATGGTAAAAGTAGGTTATTAGAATCACGCTTCCCAATGCACACAAGCAATAAACATTTGAGAGAACAACTTCCCAAACAAGGAAACATTCATTCTATTTAAATTTTTATTTTACAGAACACAGTGATGTACTTTACCATATTACTAATGACTCATGCTGCATAGTCTGGCTTCTATGAAACATGCTCAGTGCAGTGCATTACACAGAATGCTGTTGTTCATCAAGAGTCACTCTACTGCTCATGATTTTGCAATCATTGAAAGGGATCAAACTACTAAAAGGTTACAGGTTAGCAAAAATATTTAATAAAAAGTATACGTGAAACAATGTACTAATGCTATTTTTAATATGAAGGAGAAAATAAGCATGAAACAAAGGGATAGCCTTTAAGTGTCATTAATCTTCCTTCAGGTTTTAATAGCAGTACATGTTATACATGGAATTTGTGCCGGGACCTTCTGAAAAGAGTGTAGCTTCTATGTAGAACACTGCAAGCTGGTGAGGTACCATACATATCTATAACTCTGTCATTTGTACTTGCTTGAATGCTTCTTGTTATGTTACAACTATGACATGATAGAACAAGCCAAAGTACATGTCCAACCGGAAATTAATAGAGAGAAGAGGTTCCATCTGTTATGATTGTTTTTGCCAGAAGAGATTCCAGCTTAATTGCTTGTATTAATAGGGTAAAGAGAACACTTCAGTGAGAAACAAGGTAATGAGTCTTGCCGTTGTACCTTCAGTCAAGGAGTTTGGATCAGAGAAACCATAAAAACTATAAAAATAACATTCACTGTGTCACCAGTATATAATTTGGATAGCTATCAATATTTATGCCATTATCATCCTATGTTCTCAATATTTATCTCACTCTCAATGGCCATAATATAATCCTTGGCATTTCCATTTTTCTGGCGCCTTGCTTTCTAAGGCAAAGAATAAGAACACCATGTCACAGCAGTCAAATGATGAAATGACTAAATAAATTGTCAGTGTTTCCCTTAAAGGTGAAAATGACAATAATGTGCAGAAAGCCAATACAAAAGTTTTGATATACCAACGGGAATGCTGTTGGGAATTACATCAACAGGAATTGCATCAATAATACAACTGATGTATTACAATAATACAATTTTAGGAACTATATAAAACTAACACTGATGTTTTTACTCCATGAGCAAGCTAGAATTTTTTCATGTTATCTTTCATTAGGCCTAAAAATGAGTCTAACAAAACACTGTATAAAATAGTTAGTTAGTCCATATTCTCAAACCTCAGCAGAAATCTAAGCTAGGGTGGGGGTGGGGGTTGTTTTGTTTTGTTGATATTTACAGCTGGGGGCCTTTCATGCATATGTACACAATCTTCCCATGACATCTTTATACATCACTTTTATGATCTAGAGATTTTAGCATCAACTAGGCAAGAAAAATAAGTATTATTTTAGGCTTTTTAGTGTCGATGTACATAGCAAATTATACTGTTCATAATCAAACTTGCATTCATCAAAGAAACAGAATGCTGCTGCAGAATAACTGTGACCTTTTATGGAACATAATCTTTCCTTTTGGTTCCCTTTACCACTCAAAGTTTTCACATTGTCATGTCCAGATTACAAAATATTTCTTGTCTTATGGTCTTAACCTTACAGGGCAGAAGTCATGAACTCAATCATTATCTCCTTCACAAGGCAGTATTTCAGACTGGATTTTATCTCTACCATGATTCTGAGTTAATACACAATATGTGAAGAAAAACCCTCACATGGGAGATAGTGTAACCTGTCACTTGAAGATTTCCACTTTGTGGGATCACAAGTGCAATCAGTTATTCAGCTGAAGAATAACTCAAGTAAAAGTAAAATGGCCTCTACCTCTCATTTACAAATGATAACATCTTGCCACTTGCCTACAGATTATGAGCTCATCTGTACACAAACAGGTGTCTAACAAGCAAGATGATTCAAGGCCAATTCAAATGCGGCATATTGACTACACTGATCTATTCTCCAGATTAAGAGAAACATATATTCTCACTGTGCATATATTGTACATTGTAGATATCATGGAAATATCTATTTCACCACCCTTTATTTTCATAGAGGGAAGGATAAAAAGCCCACATTTAGGAAAATGGTGAAGTGCAAGAAACTGTATCATTGTATGTAAGCTTGTCGGTGTACCTAGATTTTGTCTCAAGTAATTTTCAAGTTTCTCAACATTAGGAAACAAAAACTGTTCCAAGTTCAAATGCAGCTATACAGTCTAAAACACCAAGCTCTCTAGCAAAACAAAAAATTAAAAAAACCTTGCAGCAATGGTTTAATTGGGGAAGACACACACACACACACACACACACACACACACGGAGAGGGCGCATGAGCACATGCTTCACTGCATACATTTGGTACATATTTTCTTCTTACACAGCATCTGTTAAAAACACAAAATAGGCCAATCTCATCAATTAGAACAAGTTATAAACTGAAAAATCCCACCTGTAACTGCAAAGCTTCATGATTCTCAAGTCCCTCCACGATATTAGCAAACCGCTCTCCATTATGTCTCTCAGCACTAATTGTTATGGCTCCTAAAATTTTGTCCAGACTGCCGAAGAAATGCATTGTTTTAATGTTAAGCATTACAATATACGTGCGTACTTTATCTTTTAAAATCAAATATTCATATTACCATGCTAAGAGCATTTTGCATATTTCATAATGCATTTATATTCTCATACCAAAAATGTAACCTTCTACTAACAGAGGATTTTTTAAAAACAGGAAATAAATCCTTGCATTTCCCTTTTAATTTGAAATAAATTTAAGATGTTGTTGGCTTGGATCCTAAGGTATCTTAACTTGAAGAAATTTCCCTATCATGTCCTCCTGCCTGAAGTTAACTGCACCCTGCAGAAAGTCTCTCTAGGAATTTGGAGAGTCATCCTGATCAATGACCCAACACACACGTAACAGTAAATCATTGGATAATTAGCCCACAATTCGTTAAGCACGCACTAAGAACACTGACCCTTCCATGCTTCTCCTGTTTTTGTAAACATTCTAAAATCATCCCATTTTTAGGTTGTGAGCATAGTATGCCAACTCAGAGTGCTGGGTTGTTTAGCTGCTAAGAAGCAAATCGTTCAGAGTTAATGTATCGTGCCCATAACCTACGGATGAGCTGGTTGTAGGTACTTTACCAAAACTGGAAGGGAGAGGAAGTACATTCCCTCCCTCCTCATGCACAGGAAGTCATAGGTTAATTTACCCATGATCGTCCCTTTAATGAAAAAGGGACCAATAAGAAATGGGGCAATGAGACAGAGGCCCTGCAGAAAAGGCTTTTCATGTAATATGGAGTGCGATTTTCACTCTGTTGACTTCCTTAATTTACCATAGGAGCCAACCTGCAATTTTAATTGCTCTTCACAATGATATTTTATGTGCTTGAGACAAAAAGACCAACTTTAGGAACTGCTCCAATGTAAGAATTATTGGCCACTATCTTCTGCCACTTATATACATGATTTAACTTGCAACACACTTGTACTTCGAGATGCTACTTATGCCATGGAAGGATACTGTTTTCCATCCTTAAAGGTGGCTTTAAAATAAAATATCCAATAAAATTAAGACTATAGCTCCTCTACCTTCCTTGTTACAAATTGTCTAGTTCCATCCTTTCTTTTTTGCACTTGGAAAAACAGCTTTTGCCTCATCACAGCCCTAACTTGAGGAAGACCAAACCAGGACATACAGACAACAGCCATACTCTGCTGCTGTTCTCCTACAACTTCGACTGACCCTTGAAGATGCTCTCTTATTCACCGCGAAAAAGGGCAATGATCCTACCAAACAAGCTTTTGAAATCACTTGGGCAGCAAAATGCTACTAAGAAACAAATGAACACAAAGATAAAAATCAAAGTTTACTTAACCATCGGTGACTAAATAAGAAAAGCTTTTGTTATTACTTACATATTTTCTTCTCCAACAATACAAATGGCAGAAAGTATTTTTACTGTTTCAGTCATCATATGTGGTTGCTTTGGATCAATTGCTCTGGCAAGTAAAAGAAGGCTTCTTTCATCTCCCAGAATTCTTTGCAATCCATACTAAAAGAAAAAGTGCCTTAAATGAGATGGGATTTCCTTCTGCAAACACCTGTCACAAATGAGGGTGTCCACAACAAACTTACATCATTACTAGTATTATTCCAAAACAAAATCTACTGGGTGTTACATTCCAATTGCTGGCTTTAACTGCTAAAGGCCCTAAAGTTGGGACAGGGAAACTTGAAAACTCAGCTTGAAATCCTCTCCAAGGACCTGCTGTGACTGCTCCCCACTACATGAAGTAAAATGGATAGAAACCTATGGGAGGGCCTAGCAGCGGATTCCTGATTATGGAATGCAAGCACTCAGAAACTCACCTGATATCATCTTCATGGGGGTTTTACAGCACCAAGTGTAAAAGACTATTTTTCTAGGATTTAGAAAATTGGTGGTTTCACTGTTGCGGTCCATTTTATGTAGATGATACTAAAATGGGGACCACAACTGAGGAGCGGGTATTCTGGGTCCAAAAGGATCTGGACAGACTAAGGAAGTGAGCGGGGAACAACAGGATGGTGTTCAGTGTAGGATAAGTGCAAGGTCTTGTGGAAGGGACCTCAGGGTGCTGGTCAACTGCAGGCTAAACATGGGTCAGCAGTGTGATGTGGTGATCAGGAGGGCGAACGCCACCCTTCGATGCATAGCCAGAAGTGTGGCTTCTAGATCAAGAGAGGTATTACTGCCACTCTATATGACTCTGGTGCACCCGCAACTGGAATATTGTGTTCAGTTCTGGGCCCCGCATTACAAGAGGGCTATAGCCAGGTTGGAGTCAGTGCAGCAAAGGACCACAAGGATGGTGGCCGGATTGCAGGGTAAGCCATGTGAGGAGAGACTGAGGGAACTGGGTCTTTCAGCCTTGAGAAGAGGAGACTCAGAAGGGACCTGTTAGCAACATATGAGGGGGTGTCATGCAGAGGTGGATTGTAACCCTTTTTTACCCCCCGGATGAGGGCAGGATACATTCTAATGGAACAAATCTCAAGGAACCAAGATTCAAGGTGGATGCCAGGAAGCACCTCCTGATGGTTAGGACCCCTAGAGTATGGAATGGGCTTCCACAGGAGGTGGTTGAAGCCTCACCCCATCGGTGAGGGTGTTTATGGAAAGGCTGGACATACACATGGTAGGCATGTCATGAGTGGGGGTCAAACTAGATGGCCCAGGAGGCCCCTTCTAACTCGCTCTGTTTCTATGTGTTATATATTATTTCTATTTCCTCTGAAAATGCTTAGAACATTATGCTGTAAGCTCTCCACAGAATACTGTTAATCGGCAGCTTTATATAAAATATAGCAAGCAAATATATAGTACAAAAACTTTTTCAGCCTTCTTTATTCAACAGCATAATCCTATATATGTCTATACTAAAGAGTTTGACACAGCATACTTTCAGCTACATGTAACACTGCAGGCTAAATGTTTGAACTGTACAAGAAATCCATTATTTTCTATTTTGAAACAGGCAGGCTCTTAAAAAGCCTATTATAGTAAAAAGTGGTAACAACTAGTTTCCCACATTATATATTTCAGCTACAATCATCAGACCGGAGGCATAAAAATAACTAATGCAGGGAATAACCAACCAGTTTGAACATTTGCATTGTACCATTTAACTTGTTAATGTTCCACTTCGTTACACACCAACCTAACACGTAACAATTAAGTAATTTTTGCAAGATGTGTTTACATAGGATACCCTGTTATCTATCTGATAATATATTATTCTACATACATTATCCTCAAGAAGTTCCATACTTTTCTGAAAACATTCCATGGGAACAGTAAACAACTACTCCATAGTTGAACTGAAGAGCTGTGATTGTATTCTTTTCTTAGCATTTGTCTTTGTCATTCTTTTCAACACAACTGCCCATGCAAGCACACCGAGCCTGAAAACAGGGGAAAGGACTTTTTGGGATACAATCCCAGTGGGAATGTCTGAAGGTTGCAAGAGAACGTTGTGTGTTTTGCGGTTTCCCTTTTTCTCCCTAAGAGAACAGGAAAACTATTTCCTCACAAGCAACCATGCAGGGACAGAGGTCTCTCTGAGTACACTGACCAGCTTAATGGACTACTGGATTCGGGGGATCCCTACTTCCAGATTGGGTTTGTGTTTTCCATTCACAAGCACAGGAAAGTTTGCAGTAAGAAACAAATGTAACACAAAATGCTTCTTTGTGCATTTTGAAAGACTGCAGAAACTCAAAAATAGAAAACAGTCTTCACCATTACCTTAGTTTTCAAACCCTGCCACTATCCTTAACTTCTCACTTTGCACAGAACTAATACACTACAGAGAATATGCAAAACATTGAAAATAGCCAGTCAAGATTTCACTTCCTAACTGTACTTCCTAATCTTTTTTATAATCATTCATACTGAATTCATTAAAGTCCAAAGCAAAAGGAACTGAAATTCTTACCTTATTATTCATAAATGCTTTGAGGCACTGTATTAGCTTATGCTGATTCTTCTTGTCAATACTTTCTTGCCTTAAACAAAAAGTGGCTGTATTAACTAAAGTCAGTAGATTGGCTATTTTCCCCTCCTTTTACCTCCAAACTTCTGTACTTACTGTCTCTTGTCAAGAAGCTTCTCAAGAACATCCAACAGAAGCCCAAGCCCTTCATGTCCAAAATTGTTGACCCAACTGTAAAAACAAACATAAAATGAATCTTCGATCACATGTACTGAGTAATATAATCACATACAAAGTTAATCATCCCATTCCAGAGATTCGTGTAGGAATTCCAGTGGGGTTCATGAATATGCTGTATCCGCACACATATGTGCACAAGAGTCATTAATATGAAAGCAATGGTATACACATTTCCAATGAAAGCAACACTGGACTGCGGGCTGCAGTATGCTGGTTCTAAATTCTCAAGAACCACAATATCTTCATTTATATTGTATTTCAGTTGTGCACATGTTCATTCTATGACGTACATCTTAGTAAAAGTATCCTTCAGCATATAAGTTCTCTCAACAAAATGTTCTTTTGAGTAACCAACTATGACCCAATTGAGGGCCTATGATATAAAGGAAGTCAGCTGAAAAATATACTAAAAACTTGCTAAAAAGGAGAGTGAAAAAACATTCCCTGTATCATGAATAAGTCATTTTATACCATCAGTTCAGAAAAACTTGCAACAGAAATGTGTGCAATTAAGGTTTCAGGTTTTTTCATGAAAAAACTCATCCTCCAAACTACTTCCCTGCCAAGCTGATGTGTGTGTACATATATCCAAACATACGCCCACGTTTAAGTGAAATTTGGTCCTTACAATACAAATCAATTTCATATAATATGTTAAATAACCATGGAGGGAAAAAAGTCAATGAGGACTTAAATGAGATGATGGTGTCTTCAGTCACCTTTCTACAGTAAACTTCAGTGTTAAATCACAAGAACTGGAAGGGACCACAAAATGAACTCATTTAGCCAAAGGGCTATCTACACACACTGCCACAGAAAATACCAGATGTAGTCCAAAGGAATTGTAGCTATTCCTGCATAAATGCCACCTAGCTATGAAATTTCCAAAGCAGCTTCCGAAATATTTTTCACTCATAAAGCAAAGCGAAGGGTAATTTTATTGTTAGATTTTATGTTTTTATTGGTTCTGTAATTCACTTCAATAGGTCATTGGAAAGTGGTATGTGATACCACTTGTGGAAAGTGGTCTATGGGAAAGTGGTCTATGTGATAAATAATAATAATAAATAATAAATAATACAGACATGGAAAGGTTAAGAATATGTAAGACCATCCATTATTCATGTCATTAGCACTGCTGCAAAGCAGACTACAAAACAAACACAGTATCACAAAGTATGGGTTTTGCACATACATTGTGATTTTAATTGGAAAAACTAAATGACGCAGGATTCTAAGAACACCTGAGGCAGGCACCAGCGTTGGGACCTCTTTGGATACGCTTAATTCTGAATCTTCATGGCAAGCATGGCATTTTGGGCTACTGAAAGTCAGCAGATGCGAACTGTGAAAGGGTTAATAAACAACTGTTTGCATAGCCCTAAGATAAGCCATGAATTCAGCAATGGTTGTTTAAGCCTTGCACAGTTTACTTGCGCAGAGCTCAAGACAACATGACAAGCTGCACTCGAAGCTAGCTTGAATATCCCAGGCAGTGCGTAAAGATGCTGAAGTTATCTGTGACTTAAATAAGCCATGATAACCTGGGTCAGTCATGGAACCCTTTACCACTGTTTGTGCAATACTAGAAGCTAGTGTTCAGGAATGTCTGGGGCATACAATTGGTAGTTTTATATAAACCCTATTTTTTTGCTTCTGTGCAAACCACTGGCTTGCTATTTGCATTTTTGTTGTTGTTGTTGTTTGATCTGCCAAGCTACATGAACTTAAGTGGTCAAAAGGAAAACCAAATGGACACATACAATACAATACCATTAAAGTAATACTGCTGCCATTATTCAAATCATAGACTAAACACTGTGTTCCTGAGAAAATATATGCAGCAAGCATTCAATAATGCCACATTAAGGCTTCAAATATGTAGAAAACTCATCAGCTAACCACTACAGCAGCTTGATGTATGCACGGAAGGGAGGCGGGAGAGAGACAGAAAGAGAGACAGAGCATCTCTCTCCTTCCTTGTTAAAAAAAAAAAAACTTTTATATTCATATAAGCAACAACAAGGAACAGCAATCATTATATGCTGAGTTATTCACATATTTTAGCAGTCTATGTGGAGCGTGTTTCTCTGTTCTTCTTTGTTCAGTTTTTGGAGGTGTGTATGCAACTCTCAGCCACTAGATGGTTCTCCAGATCCATTTAAGCAGCACAGCCGAATATGCATCTCTAACCCACACAAGAGTTTCTGTGATTTAACAACACTACTGACCAGCAAATGAAAAGATGGTGGAGACCTGAAGGGCTTCATAGCACTAGCAAAGAAACCCTAAACGACACTTTTTCTTGTTTCAATTATTTCAGAAAAGTCCCAGCTTTCATATCTATGGACAACTGAACTTTCAAGGGCGCTAAGGACGGAGTCTTCTCTGTAGTGGCACTGTAACTGGAGAGCAATTCCTCAAGAAGGTAGACATCAAGTGATATCCTTTGTGCTTTACCAAAATTTAGCTTTAGGGGGTGGGGGGAATCTCTGTGCAGTGACTGCTCTTTTGGATTCTCACATGTCTTAATTCCCGTAATGCTATTTGTATGCTTTGATTTTCTACCCTGGACAAAAATGTTTAATGCTAAATAGGCATTCACTTCACTAGATCTACTTCTACAGCTCAGAGCCACCAGAGAAGCTCATCCTATTATGATTAACATATCACTGACTCATTCTCCAAGTTCAACATAGAAATGCTTAAGAATAAAATGTCATCTTTTGATTTATGATTACAGGTAGTTCAATACAATATTGCTTTCTAAGCTCACTGAGCAAATTTATCTCCCTGAACTTACCAGACAGAATCACTGTTGGAACTGTGTAGAATCAAGTGAAATCTTAAGCTATAAAATTTTGCCCTTAAACTAAAACATTTCAGAGGAAAAGCAAAGCACAGAATTACCTGTATAACTAACACAGCCTGGTGAGCCTTGGCCTTAACTTAAATCTGGGAAATTTATTAGTAATATACATTTCCCAGATTTACTAATATAAATAGTAATAATTTTATCAATGTCTGTTTTACTTTGGATTCTCAGTACTCAAATTATTTAACATACCAATTCAAGGGAGCAAACCTGCCACATTTAAAACTTTAATGTAGGCTGTCTTCGAACTAGCAGTCAAAAGCGTTTGTGGCATTTGAACAATATGTTTGCGCTATATTGGGAAACAAGTGAGGAGGGAAGCACATACTTCAAATTTTATTGCACATTTTGATATTTAAAAATATTGAACATTTTAATTAAAAACCAGGCTCAATTGAAGCAAGAGAATAAAAAGGAAACCAAAAGGATCATTTAATTATTTGAACCCACCATACTTCTCAGAGTATCAAGAGCAGCTCACAGAAAAATACAAGACAAAAAGGAACATATACCATTAATAAAGCCTGCGTATTCAGATACAGCATGAGGAACACCCACCTTCATCTCATGTCTTCCCCTTCAGATATAGTAAATGAGAAAAAGACAATTCTAGTCTCAACCATAGTAGGATGTATTGTTCAAGCTTAGACACAGAAATAGAAAATATTAATATATTTGCAATGATAGAACCCAGTAATGCAGAATTCAACTGGATGTGAAAAGGAGATCTGAAAGTCATCTCAGCAAAAAGAGCAATTGAAATTATAGAGCAGCTACTGAGAGGACCAAGAAATAGATAAGCTGAAGCATGGTTGTATAACTAAAAAGACAATTAAGACCTGAAAAGTGACATCACAAAGAGAAAATGTGGGGGATGTTTGAAACAAAACTTGCAAAAGAATAGATAATTCTCATTTGGGAGATGAATGCAAGAACAATTCATAGGCAGTAACAACAATAAACTGGAGATGAGGTCACAGCCTTAGTTCCAACAACTCAAACAGTTTGAATTTTTCAAAACAGGTCTCTGGGGACTCAATTCACCTTCCTCTGCCTTTACAGTGGAGCACACATATCAAGGTTATGCTTACATAATACATTTCTGTTCTCCATTTTACCTGGTCTGCAGAAGAAAGGGGTCCCCAGAAACACGTTGGATGTGATACACATTATGTATTATGCGAAACTTGCTTTGTTTATATCAGTATAAACAAGCATTGCTTGTACATGCTGGCATAATACAAAGATTAATGCCAAGCAACACAGAGCCAAAGCCATGGAATTGGATATAAATGTAGCAGTGTGAGGAACGAAATATATCTGGCAATCCTTGTCAAAAGAATTTTAACCATGCTATTGAACAGCTCATGTTAATATCACCCATGTTTATGCAAAATAGAACACAGAAATAAAGCAAGTCAGAAGGGATCTCCTGGCCCATCTAGTCTGCCCCCCCCCAGCCGGCTCCATTCATGTACTCCCAAACATGTGGTTGTCCAATCTTTCCTTGAACATCCTCACTTGATGGGGCCTCAACTACCTCCCATGGAAGCCCATTCCAAAGAGCTTAAGATGTTATTTCAACCCAAAGCTATATATTGATATGCATTTGATTACTTTGCAAAAGGCACTCCTGTGCAACCAAAACAAACATCTTATTATTTCAGCAACAAAGGAAAACTGATAAATACTAATAAACCATATTAAAATGCATTCTGTATTTATCATTATAGTTACGAGGCAGAATTATGATAAATATACTGATAAATTTACACTACCAAGAATCCCACTTTCTCAATAAATAAAGCCAACTTTTGTGATGTGATTTTTTTTCTCCTTAATAAGCTCATACTATTTCCATCACTGTGCTTAAACATGTGGGGATCAGCTCATATTGCTGCATACCTACAAAAAGCCGAACGCATACATCCTTCCATCAACCACAGGCAGTTATATTATAGAGTAAGTAGAACAGTCACCTCACGCTCCTTTCACAAGCCCTTAAAATTTAACAGGGGGTTCTATTATCAACCCACCCCAGGGCTACTCTGTGTTCTGCTGAGAAAGCACATTCCACCAGGCTTTACCCTTTGCCCCAACTGTCCTTCAACAGCGTTCCATCATGATAAAGCAAAGACACAGGAACCGGTGCCACTCCGCTGGCCCAGTTAACAGAACACCATTTTTCTGGCTTCCACTTTCTTTACACTGTACCCTTTCCAGTTTGTTGTGATAAGCAATTTGAAACTAAGAAATGGTGCCTACATCTTCTCCCACAATTCCTTTTCTTAGTATGGCGTGTCTCTGATTTTAATACTGGATGGGAACTGAATCATTACTGATCTTTCTAAATCTCTCTGGAAGTCTTTTAGTCAACAAATGGATTTAAACTGTTTAGAGGATGGATGGATGGATGGATGGAAAAATATCTCACAACTTTTTGGTAAAACACTGTACTATATCCAGTTTAAATTACAGTTGGGTCCTATTGTCAAATTACAGTTATTTGGTTCCTAAGTTGGGTAAGACTAAACTTCTCACACTGATTTCATGGAAATAGAAGTGCAAGAAACTTTGACTAATCAGCTCATTGTGTTATACAGAATCCTAATTAAACAGACCCTGTGTCCTCTGCATTTCCCCAACAAGTAAAGAGGTATGTAAAGCAGACTAGCTGCTTTAAAAATCCCTGTTAAGACAAGACAGTTTTTAATGAGACCAAAATCTTCCAAAATCCTGAAAAGTAACTGTCAAGTCCAGTTTGATGCATCCCAAAATCATAGGATGTATATAGGTTTTAAATCCACTTGGCCATATTGTTTACAAAGAAACCATATATAGCTGCACATACAGAACTATTTACAGCAGATCCATCAGCAGCTCTTATTTTCAACCACTGTGTCTTTTACCAGAGATAAATAATGGAATTAATCCCTTCAAATCTTTTCAACAAAAGTAGATCATTATATAAATGCTACAGTCACAAGAATATCTATCATGCAAGACACTTTGAACAACAGTTGCAAAGAGATGCTATTCTTTATTTTTTTTAGAAATCACTCTTCTATTTCCAAAGACTTAGACTTCCCAGATTAATTATTCTGTTTCAACAAGTAAGCATGGTTGGTGTATCAATGGACACGAAGCTCAATTTCACACAAGGGTTTAGGGCTAGTCAGATTCTATGGTTTCTGTCCAAAGCAAGAGACAGAATTCCCGGAAAAACAGAAGACAGAATATCACCATGGAGAACTGAATGATACTGGGACCAGAAGCTTGCTGAAATGATGGTCCAATGAGCAGCTGATTTGGAATAAACTTTACATATTTTTATTTATTTATTTTAACAACGTATATGCCGCCCCATCCCATGAGCCTCAGGGTGGCTTACAATCATTAAACCATATGGTTTTGGCTTCCTTAGTATGGTTTTCCATTCTTCTACACTGACTGAAGCCTTCTTTTTTAAATGGACTTAGTCTGTTTCAGCAGCCTCAGGCTGAAGGTCCCAATGCAGAAATATCTTAATGGATAGAGTTCACAGAATCTAAAAATACAAATTTGACCTCCTCCAGACACAGTGGAAGGTGGGCCCTGGGACTTTCATGGGGATCTCAAGCATAGTGAGCTGGAAACTTTCTATAGCAGAGCCCTCTGTCTACTCCATTAACTCAACGGGTTAGTATCCTGGACCGTGAGAACATGGCCCTAGCACAAAACCCCCACCATAATATTGTCTAGTTCATAGCATTATGGTTTGCATCTAAGAAATCTACCATTCTTTATCTTCCAACATACAAATCCTAACATAAAATTTCCTTCAAAAACTGGTTTTCAATACTTACCTGACTGGATTGCTCGTTAGAGAGACTCTCAAGGACTCCAAACAATTGAGAAGTTTTTCCTCTGAGATACCCGACCGCAGTTCATGGACATATTCTTGGGACGACAGAGTGCATTCATGTTTGCTATTTTTCAGGCCTCCCTTAATAGAGGAAGAAAAAGAATAGGTTATATTTTAAAACACACCAGAATACAATAGTGTTCTGGATGATTACACATTAGAACAAAAAGCAAGATTGAATTTTCTTAGCAGCAATTATGTGTCCCTGGAAGCTAACACTATGCATCACTCCAGCTAACCTACAGACATAATTCTTAAACATGGTGAGGACTAAGGACAAGGACTAAGGGCTATCAGATTGGTCTAACTCTTTCATAACACACTCCCAGCATCAACCGGGGTTAAATCAGAACCAACTCAATCATAATTAATTCTAGGTAGGGTTTGTTATTAAACAAAGAAACAACACCACTGAAACATTAGGTTTCAAAGCCTGTTTAAAAGGACACTCCAAGATAAGATGTATACCAATAGAACCCTTAGGATTTTTTTGTGAGAGAAGCAACAATCTTTTCCTCAACTCCTGATCAATTTAATGTGTAAGGATCAGGAGGATTTTAACAGATTCAAAATAAACAGGCTACAGTAAACACATCAACAAATCTTTGTTGGATTGTGGCCTATTCTTTACATGACTTGCACATTTGAAAGAAGCTCACATTTACTGGTGCACTTTCAAGTACCAGGAATAAGTCCTTGGCACATGTGTATGTGTGGAGGACAGTTTAATATGGGTCTAAATACACAGTATGCTTAAACTCATAATGAACGCTATTTTGTATATTAACGATATATCTGATTATCTTATCTCCCGATGAAGAAAGGTTTCTACTTCAATTTGAAAAGTGGCCTAAGTTATTTAAAATTATGTCCATATGAATCTATCAAGTTTGATTGATAAGTAAGTCTGACAAGTTTGCCTGTGAGTTTTGTCAAAGTTCTGCACTTTTACACACTTCTAAGTCCTCCCTCTCTTAAACAGGAACTATTGCTTGCTTGAATAGTCATGAAAAATGAACATCACTACAGAATTTGATTAAGGTAAAAAATGGCTTTTCATTGATCAAGATGTCACAGCTGTCAAAATGAATATCAATTTGTCAGCAGCATGCTGGACAATGTAGTCCACCAAACAAGATGAAATGGAAGAACTAAAACTTTCTAAAGCCTTAAGAGAGCTGAAAAATCCCTATACCTATTCTGAGTAAGCTGAGGGAAGCTCCTTAACACTAATGAGCTAAAGCTCACCTAGAGTAATTTTCTATATTCCTTTCTGACTATAGGGGCTACCAGACATACTCTCATACAGAGCTGCATCCAATATTAAGACCCCTTCATTTTAATGGGTCTACTCTAACTAGGACTAACACTGGATACAGATCAGAGAGCAGAAGAAAGCTGAAGGAACAGCCAAAAGCTGTACCACGAAATCTCACGATTTCTTAAGCCCTAGATCAGAACATAGACTAGTTAAGTGCACTAACTGCTTTCAGCTCATTCATGTGAGATAGCTCATTTCCCTTTGCGGGCCCCAGAAAAGTCTTCTGACAAGCCCATGATTGACAAACAAAGATAATCCTGGAAACCCCAGGTACTCGAACATACAACAAGAAGGCTGTATTTGCCCACGGATTTTGTCCTCATCTTCACTTTGCCTCAGATTTCAAGGATCACTGTTTCATCCCTGTCCTAAACTTATGTTTAGGTATGGAGAGATGGTATAGATTGCTATGTTCTTTTTGCACTGAAACAATGTTTTCAAACATCACTCCATTTCTTGTTTATCCTTTACATCCTGTCTGCATTTCCCAGAAAACTTAATACTTCTGTTAGACATTCGTGTGCCTCATTCTAAATTGTCTCAGTATTAAATCCAGGGTCTTCCTGTTAGTTAATGTTAACAGTTTTCTGGTCCTTCCTTTATGCATGCAAAAGAATAAACCTGGAAGCTACAGTTAATAATAGCTCCTATTATGGTCAAGCAAGGGAACTATGTTTAATAGCTTCCAAACCAGCTACACTATGAAGAGAAAGTTTAAAATTGGCCTCTGCATCCTAGCGGGATTGGGATGTATTAACTATAGATTCCTGATTCAGACATAATTGGAATCCATGATTAACTGTAGCTTCGAGGACCATTTGCTTGCACAACGAAAAGATCAAAAGGACTGCACATTGGTCCAGAAAGCTCAAGCTTATCCTGCCCTACTAAGCCAAAACAATTATCACAAAGTAGCCAGTTAGCAAACTTAAAACATAGATACTAAATACAAAAACCAAGTAGTATGTTAAATTGTACCAACTGCTTTTCTGCTAAAATACTAGTCTATGAAAATACGCAAAGGTCATGGCCATGGAAAAACAGACTAGATGAAGTAAAAGCAAGTGGCTCCCCTTTAAATACTTGAGAATATCCTTTCCTCAAAAAACCAGGACAGTAAGTATGAAATGAGCAAGAACAAGAGTCAGCAACTGAAAATAGCAAAGTATTTTCCATACGCAACTTTAGGCATTACAAACATCAGAGAAGTAAGAAGTCACTGTACTGCATGGGCCTGACAACTGGAATGCATGACTTAGATTTCAAGCCAAGGTCAATCCTGTTCTCCATCATACACAAACACTGCCTACCAAGACAGTAACTATAAAAATTATCCATTCTGAGACAAGGGCCATCATCACAAAAACCTGTGGGAGTTCCACAAGGCATTAACTGTTGAACAGAAAGTATGCAGACCAGTAATTGTGGCTCTGAATTATATGGGGCACTGATTTATGCTAGAATCATGTCCAGACATAATAGGAAAATACAATTACTTTAAAGGTAGAAACCACACCAAAGGAAAAGATGAGAACATGCAGGGCTCTCCTGCACTTGTTTACCTAACAGTAACCCTGACTGCTCTTTAGAAGGCCAGATCCTGAAGATGAAACTCAAATACTTTGGCCACCTAATGAGAAGGAAGGACTCCCTGGAGAAGAGCTTAATGCTGGGAACAATAGATGGCAAAAGGAGAAGGGGACGGCAGAGGATGAGGTGGCTAGATGGAGTCACTGAAGCAGTCGGTGTGAGCTTGAGTGGACTCCGGGGGATGGAGGAGGACAGGAAGGCTGGAGGAATGTTGTCCATGGGGTCGGGATGGGTCGGACACGACTTCCCAAATAACAACAACAACCTGCATTTTAAGATTATGTCCAAAAGGGCCTAATATCCTAATTCGTGGAAATTCTGCACATGCTCAGATCAAGCAGCACAAATACATTCCTATGCTTACTGGCAAAGCTTTTTCATCTTCTGTGAAAAGCCTCTGCCTGTGCCTATACAGGAATGTGCAGGTGAGAGGTGTTCAGTGCTTTTTAATGAGTCATCATCATCACGATTACTTTCCATCTTATTTCTCTCAAATGCTGGATGGCTTCATTTCTTTTCATTAAAGGCATGCAACCCTGAAAACATTCATTCTACTTCACTATTAAGGAAATTAATTTACAATTTAATTTCCAAAGCAAGAAAACATGTGCACTCTTCTATTTTAAAAAGCCATAAGCACTGACAATTTAATGGAAGTCTATATTAGCACTGAGTTAACACATATTTTAGTAAATGTAAAACTTACTATTTCTTATGTGTCCCAAGTGTTGTGAGCCGCCCCGAGGCTTTGTTGCGATGGGGCGGCATAGAAATGTTTTAAATAAATAAATAAAATAAATAAGTACTCCCACACAAAATAATTTACAATATCCTTGTACAGTAGGACAACATTTTTTCCATATTACACAAGAAAGTTTGAGGAACCTCTTGGATCCAAGCTCATCCTGAGCTGTTTTGAAATACCATACAGAAAACACAGAGCCTTTTTCCCATATTTAGAGTGCATTTACCTGATGCAGTAACAAGAACTATGAAAAAATACTTTACAGACAAGTGTGAAAAAGAAGAGTTATGCCCATCAAAAAGAAACAAAAACTACAAACATGTCTCCTAAAAGAGTGTTATATTCTACCCTGTATATGCAGAACACATGCTCTAACTACAATAGATCATGAGTCCTTAACACGATGTAATAATCAACCATTGATACAATGAAATAATTAATAATCAAATTCCAAAAGAAACTAGCTATGTCTCACGAACCGCAGGGTAATTAGGTCCAATATATCATCTATTTGCTGCAGGAATCTCAAAGATCCCTCCAAGATGCCTGAGGAGTTCATCCATGGTTTTCAGCTGCTATTTAATAGCTATTTATGAAAATATGTCCCCTCCAATCTTTTGTCTTTGCCCAGTTTGTGACCCAGTTCACATAATACATTGAGCTGATTAAGGGTTATTCAGTTTATTATAGGGTTATTTAATTATCAGTGAACCCCTGGTGGCAGCTTCAGCATACACATCTCCAGTTGGGGTTGTATAGTCAAATGATGCCAATACCCACCATGGCTATCCTGTGAAGCGGGCCAATGAGTATGCACAGCACCAGCTACAAAATCATTATACTTGCCATAGCAGATTTGGACCATAATTGTTTAAGAAATATCCCATAAACAAAAGCTATTCTGTTGGCCCATTTATAAATCATACAAATCATGACACATTCTTAAGGCTGATTTGTAAACTGTATTTATTAACTGCGATGTGCCCAGAACCTATTCCATTGCTAGGATCACTAAAATAAATGTACAGAAGATCTACCACACAAACTCAAATGTGAAGCATAAAAAGCCTGTGAATGGCTTGTAGCCTTGTGTGTGTGTGTGTGTGAAGAAAGTTTATATTCTGTCAACTGAAACAGAATTGCACCAAAGCAAAATATTCAGACAAATTACTTCACTATATCAGCTTTTCATTTACAAACCTCAAATCTGACTGTTTAACTGCTTACTCCTGTTAATAAACAAAATGTACATGTGTGTTACTGGTTCAGGCAAGACTAAATCATAATTTAGCATAATGATAAAAAGCCTAGATTGGCATGGGGCGTGCCTGGCCCTCCACAGTGTAACTGTGAGAATGTCTTCTTTTGTTCCCATTTTTAATTAACCAAAGTTAACCTATGGGCAATCTTAATCATGGCTGATGG